AACTTAACGTTAAAAGTATAAAGTAGTGAAATAATTTACTCTGGGAATTGTAAAGTTTCATTTCAATATATTTTTACAACGACGTTCGGTATGTTTGACAATAATCGCTGATCATTTAATACCTCTTTTTGTAGCTGAAATCCGGCGCTATTCATTATTTCAATTACATCGTCTCGAATCATAATTGCCTCACATATTGAACTACTTCCACCAAAGTAATCGTCCATGTCAAAATTCTTTTTAATTGCTTGGCTAGCTAACGAATATCCCTTTACATGTTCATCTGCTAATTTTCCTAAGCACGCCATAGCAACATAAGACGCGTGTGTAGTTTCATAAGTTAACGTGTTAAGATAATACTCTTCGATTTTTTCAAACAGTTCAGGTCGCCACAATATTTTTTGCCATTTGCGGTCTTCTTCAGCCACAAGGATTAGTCACTTCTGATGATAATACGTACTTATGAATTCGGAACTGAGCCAAATACACAGCAATTCGTACTGTATTACAGGTCCTTTTAACAAAAAATCATTTTAATTTTTACCATTGGTGGTGACGCATGATACTCAGAATTTTTTTGGTTGTTATAATTTATTATTAATAATTCAAAATGTATCAATAATAGAAAGTGATGAAATTAATATATATATATATATATATATGTATATCTCATAACGAACCGTACAGCTATGTGTATCGCGGTGTACTAGTCTAAGATAAAAAATACAATAGGCGATATGCGCCATTTATTCTAGTGGCCGATCGATATAACATAAGCCGCAACAATTAATATTGTCGTATCCCTTGTAATGTTGCAGAATTTATAATTTATAATTTTTATCACTCCGCAACTCAACCAACATCAAGTACAACATGAAACCCCCCTTTTCTACCCATTATTAATCTTGTTAATATTACACCTCCTTTTTGCTTCTTATTTTATTTATTCTTCCTTTATAAATATATATATATTTTAAAATAATAATTATAAAAAATTTTCAATAATTAAAAAGAAAAAATGTTATTATGTTATACATGGCCTTTCTCTTTTATTAATATTTGTTTTTCTCAAAACCTAGTAGCTCCGTCGACAAGTACTATCTTGTTTGGCGCGGCTACTAGGTCACTGTCCAGTGTTCCCCCTGGGCAGTGGGTAATTAGTAGGCCCTCTGTTTGGCTGAAACCTTACACCCTTAATAGATTTACAAATGAGTAAACTATTGAGTCCTAATTAACTTAACTCTAAACCTTGTAACACTACTAAAGGGTATGTCCACGGCTGTCAGCTGTAACCCAAAAGAGTAATAAGACTAAGGGTTCTTAACTATTACCACCACATATTACTCGTTAGAGTACTGCGAAGGACCTCTACACAACACGTTTAAAGATCCAGATATGTTTTAAAGAGAAACTCTTTATGCCTTTAATCATACAAATAAAAAAACACAGCACGGAGAGGTCGCGGCATAGTTGGGTCAAGTATAATGATATCTGACAGTGATTAAAATCACTATCATAAAAAATACTTCGATGCAAATCTGTAGAAAGTGTTTAATTTTAAAAAAATGATGGATTATTTATAAAGCTACATGAATTCCTATTTCCTTATTTATATCCTGATTACAAGTTNGTATTAATGCCATGTTTGTCATGTATACACATTATCATCATATGTATACACAGTAATCATGAAAATGATGAAAATTTTAAAATTTTGAATATATAATTTATTTTTATTTTCATATTTCAGTGATAATAAAAAATATTCCTTTAAAGTAATTGAAAACTGTGTAAGTTATTAAATAAAAAATAACATAGAATTTTTGTCTGATTAAAAATGTATGATCATTTAAAGTCAAATAAAACGTCCAATACTAGATCGAATGTGCTAAATATAACAATATAATAAGAATGATTTCTTTATTTAGTCATTATCCAAATAATTATTAAACATTCATCATATAGAAGTAGAATTATTTTATTTTTAATATAATCCAAATTAAAATGAAAATAACTTTTTTTTTTGATTCTTCGTCATCATATAATGTCAGAGACAAAAAAAGAAATAATTTTAATATCTATGAACGTCATAAATTAAATAAATAAAACCATATATTATTTTAAAAACAGATAAAGCATGTTTATCTTTTGTAAAAATAACTAAGACATACAATATAGAAAATAAAATATCATTAATTTTTCATACTACACAATAAATATAGATAGACATTAATTCGAGCTATAAGTAAACTATTTTAAATCTAAAACCTCTAGGAAAAGTTTAAACATTTAGGTGGAGCATCTCAAGATAAATTTTACAATTAGGCTAAAATGAATGTATATATGCAATTTTTGATAGCAATTGTGCTATGTTCATCTGTTTCATCTATTGTACAAGACTCGAAAAAAATTACAAGTCCGGTAATAATAATTTTAGTTTATGTTCTTAAATATTATGGTTGACATTATTTTTTATCTTGAAATAATTATTTATACTTATTTATTATAGTTTTTTGTATACTGATTGATTTATTAGAGTTCTATTTATTTTTCTAAAGTAATAATAACATGAAGTATTCTGTATGTGATATTTTAATAACATTTTTCAACTTTTGAACTATTACAATGACATATACCGTTGGTAGACCTGAATATACCATGATTTCAGAGTTAGCTCTAGACACAGGCTCCATAAAATGTTTTTTTTTTTATACAAATAATATCCAAAAATAACGGTAGCACTGCGGGATCGCGTCACAGTGTGGACGTGGCATAAATGGGACAAATATAGATGATTTCTGACAGTGATTAAAATCACTATTTAAAAAAACGCTTCAGTGCAAATATGTAGATAGTTTTTAATTTAAGAAAATTGATGGATTATTTAAAAAGCAAAATAAACTCCTATTTCATTATTTATATCTTTATTTCAATTTTTATGATTTATAAGTGTATTATATAAATAAATATTAATTATAGCAATTAAATATAATATGAAATTTATATTTAATAATATAGGTATTATAGTTTTTAGAAGGAAATGATAATAAATTATAAAGTTGTTATTACTTTTATGCCAAACACGTGTAAAAGTTGAAGGGCTTGAGCAATATTTTTAAAAAAAAATTGTTTGTTACTTATAAATAAATTTACTGGTCTACAAACAAATTTTCATCAGAGACCAAAATATACATTTCTAAATTCATTTTTGCGCCGATTTTAAATCTGCGATCGGAGTTTCGCATATAGACTAAATAATAACAAAATCCTTCTAATTAAAATAACAAATATTTAATTTTTTTTAGTTACGTATGAATAATCAATAAACATATTTTAATTAAAATATAAGAAACAAGCTAAATGCATTATGTACAGTATGTCAATATATATAATTATTTAAATACCAAAAGTTGCATAGAAATTATTATTAAGACTTCTATTCACCAAAAAATAATGATTTTAATGAAATTATACGTTTTCCTCATACATTTACAGTCAATAGTAACTATATATGTTTCTGATCACATATCAATCTAAAAAGTAAAATTTTATTTAACAGCACCTTATTTTTAAATTAAAAGCATTCATAAAAATCAACTTTAATAAATCAAAGAATTAAGTTGAAAATGTCATTTTAAATTAAAATTTTTCACGATTTATTTGTAACATATTAAAAATCAATAATAACTTGATAAAAAAAAATTTTTTTAATTAATTTTTTCATACGTTTCTAATTAGTATGAATATAAAAAACCCAGCACAGGGGGGTCGCGGCACAGTGGTGACGTGGCAAAGTTGGATCAAGTATTATGATATCTGCCAGTGATTAAAATCACTATAAAAAAAAAACGCTTCGATGCAAATCTTTAGATAGTGTTTAATTTTAAAAAATTGGTGGATTATTCCAAAAGCTTCATAAACTGCTAGTTCGTTATTAATATCCTGATTCAGATAAAGTATATCGAATGAAAAAGGGATTATTAAAAAATAGTATTTCCCATAAAAAAATTATATTGATCAATACACTTTTCAAAAAGTTATAGCATTATAAAGTTAAAATATAAAAAATAATTTTTTTACAAAAATCGTATTTTTTTTATTAACTTTGATGTCTGTTTTCACCATGAAGACAAAAGAAAGTCTGAAATTTTTTTTTGCATAATAAAGTACATTCCATAAGCTTTAATTTAATATATATATAAAAGTGTCAGTATTTCCGGAACACTTTAAAAAATTAAGTTGTAAAAGTTCTACTTTCTATATTCATTCTTAAATTTGAACTCCCCAATAAATAGGAAATGGTCCGATTTAAAAAAAAAGTATGTCGAATGAAAAATGTATATAAATACTACTTCTCGTGAAAATATTGCATTGATCCATACATTTTTCATAAAGTTATAGCATAATAAAGTTAAAAATGTAAAATACAAAATCGAAAATTTTCACACAAAAATAGCATTCGGTAGCCATTTTCACCGTGAAGATAAAATAAAGTCCGACATTTTTTTTTGCATAATAAAGAATATTACATTAGCTTTAATTTAAGATATATATAAAAGTGTCAAACCTTCCGGAACATTTTGAAAAGTTAAGTTGAAAAAGTTAATTTTTTGTGAAAAAGTTGTCATTTTAAATCCCCCCTTGTGGGCAGGTTAAGGGTTAAATTTATGAAAAAAATATACCAAACGAAAGGTAATAATATTACACATCTATATAAAAAAGAAATATATTGATATGTTCATTTTTGAAAAAGTTATGGCACTTTTAAGTAAAAAAATTTTTAAAAATTTCGAAAATTAGCCATTTTTTAANTAACATATAAAATCGAGATTTTTTTCACGGAAATCGTACGTTTTTCTTTAACTTTGATGTCCGTTTTCACCACGAAGACAAGTCCAGAGGTCAAATTTTTTTTTTTCAAATTAAAGTATATTACATAAGCTTTAATTTAAGATATATATAAAAGTGTCAGTCTTTCCGGAACATTTTCAAAAGTTAAGTTGAAAAAGTTCTACTTTCTATACGCATTTTAAAAGGTTTGCACCCCCCCTGTATAAAGGGAAATGGTCCGATTTTAAAAAAAAGTATGTCGAATGAAAGAAGTATATATAAAGTATTTATCATTAAAGAATAAAGTTGATTCATGCATTTTTTAAAAAGTTATAGCAACATAATGTTAAAAAATGTAAAATATAATATCAAGAATTTTTTCACAAAAATAGCATATTTTTGCATACGGTAGTCATTTTCACCATGAAGACAAGTCCAGAGGTCAAATTTTTTTTTTTCAAATTAAAGTATATTACATAAGCTTTAATTTAAGATATATATAAAAGTGTCAGTCTTTCCGGAACATTTTCAAAAGTTAAGTTGAAAAAGTTAATTTTTGTGAAAAAAGTTACCATTTTGAAACCCCATCCTGTGGGTTGTTATAGGATCAAATGTTCATAAAAATATATAAAATGATAGGTAATTATCTAAGGTATCTTTAAAAAAAAAATTCATATTGATTCGGTCATTTTTAAAAAAGTTATGGCAATTTTAAGTAAAAAAAATTGAAAAAATATCGAAAATTAGCGATTTTTAAATTTGTAATTTTTTGGGGGATTTCCCCCGTTTACGGGGAACGAGGGAATTTTTTTCAATTTTTGAGGGTAATGTCTTCGACTAGATACGATTTGTGATCTTTTGACATATTGTTCATCAAAATCGGTCCAGCGAGAGCTGAGATTGAGCGTTCACAGACACAAAAAAAAAAATAAAAAAAAAAAAAAAAAAATAAAAAAACACATCATAGTAAAATTAATACCTTCTCAGCTTCGCATCGAAGCTAAAACACATCTTAGTAAAACCAATACCTTCTCAGCTTCGCATCGAAGCTAAAATGAGTTTATAGAAAAAATCGTGATTATTTTTGTAGTAGGATAATTTTGAAATATTCGTCTGAATTTCTAAAATGAAATTTACAATATTTGGTCATTACAAGTTCATTAAAAGATTAAAATAGAGTTTTTCTGACGAATCTGTCATTAATATTTATCAAGTTAGAGCAAATGAGAAAGATGAAAGACAGATATTAAAAAACTATATAATAAAATATTTTAATATGAATAAGAAATTTTTTTCAGTTTTTCAATTTTTATTTACAGTGATTTGGTCCTTAATGTTTATTTAAAATATTCAATCAAACAAATTTGTACTTTTTTTTTTCCACCTCAAAAAAAATAATTCCAATGAAGCTGAAAGGTAAGTTCTACAAGACTGTAGCAAGACTAGCTATGATATATGTTCCAGAATGTTAAATGACTGACAAGAGAGTAGACCATAGAATGATTATAACATAGATGAGAATGCTTAGAATCTAAGAATTCTCATCTAACCTTAGATGGATGAGTGGAATGACGAGTGAACATAAGATAAGGAACGAGCATATAAGATGGAGTATAGGTGTAGCTTCAATCGTGGATAAGTTGAGAGAAAGTAGACTTAGATGGATTGGTCATGTTATGAGGAGAGAAGAATCGGAAGCTATAAATCAGTTATAGAAATGAATGTTATAGGAAGACCAAAAAACAGATGAAGGATTGTTATTAATACGATATGAGGACAGCTGATCTGAGGGTAGATGATGTGGGAGATCGTATCAAGAGTATGTTTAAGAAATTAATGGCCGACTCTAAGTAGGTAGGAATAAGACGAAGGAAAATAAAAATATTATATTTTAGCTTCGATGGGAAGCTGAGAAGGTATTGGTTTTACTATGATGTGTTTTATTTTTTTTTGTCTGTTACCACTTTTTCTCAGCTTTCATCGAACAGATTTCTTTCAACGATACGTCAAAAGATCACAAATCGTATCTAGTCGAAGACATTACCCTCAAAAATTAAAAAAATTTCCACGTTTCCCTTATATGGGGAAACCTCCAAAAAAATTACAAATTTAAAAATCGCTAATTTTCGATATTTTTTCAATTTTTTTTACTTAAAATTGCCATAACTTTTTTAAAAATGACCGAATCAATATGAATTTTTTTTTTAAAGATACCTTAGATAATTACCTATCATTTTATATATTTTTGTGAACATTTGATCCTTTAACAGCCCACAGGATGGGGTTTCAAAATGGTAACTTTTTTACAAAAAATTAACTTTTTCAACTTAACTTTTGAAAATGTTCCGGAAAGACTGACAATTTTATATATACCTTAAATTAAAGCTAATGTAATATACTTTAATTTGAAAAAAAAAAATTTGACCTCTGGACTTGTCTTCATGGTGAAAATGACTACCGTATGCAAAAATATGCTATTTTTGTGAAAAAATTCTTGATATTATATTTTACATTTTTTAACATTATGTTGCTATAACTTTTTAAAAAATGCATGAATCAACTTTATTCTTTAATGATAAATACTTTATATA